TGTTTCAGAGGAAGAGCCCTGAGATCATGCTGTGTAGCAATTGGAATCTTGCATAGAGCCTGCTCTCACATAAAGCAGGCAAGACCTTCACTCAGAAGCCAGTCCTGATTAATATTAATTCCCCACATAAACACTTGGAAACCAGACTGGCCCATCTGCCATATGCAGGACAAAAAAAACATGCAGCCTGGACTTTAACTGTTAAACAACCAAATCAGCATGATAAACAGTGTGATGATTTTTGCTTAGCCCAAACCAAAGCCAGTTTTCTAGAATTAATTTGCAGAATCCTAAGAATTGGACTGCCAACTTGAAGAACTAGCTGTGCTAACCAAGTTGCATGGGCAACCCTGAATTGATGTGACTAGAGCAAATCTTCAAAAAATAATAGAGAGATCAGATTTTACTTCCACTGCTGCTATTGCTATCATTAAAGTTCTAACCAGATAAGTTTCATTTATCCAATCAAACAATCGGATGCAACTGCCAGATCAAGTAGTGGTAGTGGAAGTACCTACATGGATTTCAGAGAGACCAGTCATTATTTGCTGATATATTATTATAACTTGTTTAATCAAAAGCTACTATATATTCATTTATGATATTAAAAATTGATATAATTTTATCTAAGTGAGAATAATTTTAAAAAAATATTCATAACATAAAATGATTCATGCATGCTGGTGATTGAATAAACCATGAAGTGTGCATTCTGAATGTGACACAGGTTGCAGGTATTAGGTTGCATGTCCACCAGTGTGCTGAAATACCATCCAGTGACCCGATCTGGTTCATTGTTACTTGCATCTTGCTTAATTCAACTGTTTTCGCCCCATTTCTTGTACCCATAAAGTTCTTTTCAATAATCTAGAAAACTTCAAAATCATTCAGTAAATTTAATTTTAAAATTGGGTGAAAGGTAAGGGGTCAATAATAGATGAACAAATCATTTCTTATTGTTCATACATATGGCCCCCATCTCTGTCAGGTATTAGAGTAGAAATTTATTGAAGCCTGAAGTCAGAAAATAAATATGGCAACAAGGTTACACGCCATACTGCAGAGTTAGGGGCTGTTTATATGAGGCGAGCCAGCTTGGGTACCCGAGCTAGCTCGCTTTAGGCGGGATCCCGTCTTTGTTAATATTTCCTACTAAATTTCATGTTGCGTTTATATGAGAACCGAGCTGGCCCGCCTAACCGAGGTCCCGCTTCGTGTGACCCGAGACCTTGGGTAAACGGGCTGGGCAGTTTTCCATATAAACGCAACAGGGAGGGCTAGCCCTTCTAGTAGGGCTGGAAATTTAGCATGCTCAAATAATTAGAATAATTCAGAATGCACAAACAACTCCCATATAAGGAACCAACTTCCATATATGGAGTTGTTTACGCCAAAAAAAATTAGAACACGAAGAGCCATCCCTTCATGTAAGTTTCATGTAAACGCGTGGTGAAATTCATCTCGGGGAAGCGAGCCAGCTCGGGTACCCGGGCTGGCTCGCTTCCATATAAACAGCCCCTTAGGCAATTTTTTTAAAGATCTCAAGGGCACAAAAGGTATAAATATAGATTGTAGGGGCAAGGGAACAAAATAATGAAATTTTGAGATTCAGGGGCAGGTTTTACAATGGGGTGCTAAAACTTTTCCCTAAAAATCCCTGACCAGCTGGAGTGCTGAGACTGATGTTTGACTATTGAAATATCCTAGCAGGTTAGGTTCATCAGATTTTAGCTTTGTCAACCTGGCCACTCTGTTATTACAGTAATGCCTCATTTAAATAATTTCAGGTCATTACTGTATAAATGTAAATACAAAGTATTTGAAGTTTATACTGCTGTAAAATGTAGTTTAATAATACTGTATTAAAGTGTAAACACGTTTCTCGCAGCGATAAATCAATATATTGTAAATAATAATCATGTGAGAGTAGAACTTTACTGAGGGTCCGAGTATAGTATTATAGGCCATAGTCTGGCCATGTGTTTCTCAATATTGACAATATTTAAACTACAATTGTACAAATTCAGCTAACTATATTAGAGAAATACTTCTAAACATTTTCAAATTCATATATACTGTACCTTTTTATACTTGATGGAAATCATCACAAATAGTATGGACGAGAATACGAGATTGGCTCCATTTTCACTGCTTCGAAATTCGAAACATCGCCTCCTCGGCGATTTACATGATGCGATATAAAAGAAGATTGATGTACATTCGACGTATATATAAACGTAACATATTAAGAAGAAAGATTACAACAAAAAATAAAAGAATATAAATAATCCGCGGCAATTCAAGTTCCATTCGTGAACTTTTCATCGCCCCCCCCCTGTCTTTATTTCCACAAAGCCCGCTCGCAGGCTAATACTCCAAGAATCTTGGAGTATTTGCCTGACACGTGACCAGCGTTTACCAGGGCTACGTCGCCGCCTTCAATTCGCGACTAGCCCTGGGTACGAGGTTGATCGTGCAGAGGCTTCGCGCCTTCCCTCGCCTTTCCCTTTGCCGCCTGCGCTCCTTCGCCCAGCGGCTACGCTCGTGTTCCAAGATCCGCCATGTAAAGTGTAGTGAAAAGTATTTCATCGTAATATTAAATCCTAAGAAAACTAAAGCCTCTGCGGAGGAGAGAGGCTCATGATCAATTTCTTGGTTGTGGCACTGTTTTAGCAGTAATTTAGCCTGCGTGGCAGGCCCTCAAATTTATGGGGGGCCTGATTTGCAGCGGGCAGGATTTTGGCGGGCTCCGGGGGAGGATTAAGGGCCTGCAGGAAAGCCCGCCTTTCATGGCTACACGCCGTTCAGATTCTGGACGGTGAATGCGATCACCTGATTGGTCAATACCAAGTCAGTGGAAAACCGTAGTATTTGTTGATTTCAATATTGTTGCTATCTAATCCTCGATCTATCTTGAACATCGATCGTGGCTATTTTTTCTTATTCAGCAGCGATACAAAAGATGATCTCACTGGCCAGTCGTCAGGAAATAGCACAGGATAATTGCAAACAATTAACGTGCATGGATGTAAAATTGTAAATACTGATTCTGATGATGTACTATATAAAAGTATTAAGCTCAACATCGACGGTTTGAAAACGTGTGAACTGTGAAGGGCGTTCGTCACTGTGGTCCAGCCACTTTTCGTTTGTAGGGTTTCGAGTCACAATATTCCCATTCGGATAACCTAAAAGCACTTTTAATGATTTAAGCACAGTTAATTTAAGTCACGAACGCCCACGAACGCCCTTCACACGTTTTCAAACCGTCGATGTTGAGCTTACTTCGGTACATCGTCGGAATCAGTATTTACATCCACGTTGTCTGCAGTACCTGTGCTATTTCTTGATGACTGGCCAGTGAGATCATCTTTTGTATTGCTGCTGAACAAGCACTGTACTTTTACGCGAAGATTTCGATTCAGTTCTAGACATACTACCCGGAAAACATCGCGGAGAACAAACGCGATTTGATTCAGTTTGGTTGAATGGACTAGCGCCACGGTCAGCGTGTCAGGAATTAACAGTTTATTTACGCTTTCCTGATGTTTCTACATCTTTGGGCTGGTAATGGTGTTGAAACTTCTCGTGTAGTACTGTAGTGTATTAACAAAGGGTGTCTGTAAAAGCCGGAACCCCACCCGGAACACCCGGAACCCACCCGGAACACCCGGAACCCTACCCGGAACCCCCGGAACCCCTCCCGGAACACCCGGAACCCTACCCGGAACACCCGGAACCCCATCCGGAACACCCGGAACCCCACCCGGAACACCCGGAACCCCACCCGGAACACGCTGGAATACGAGCTATGAAGCAACGCACGTGTTTCTTTATAAATTCACGTGTTTCGCATTAAATTCCGGGTGATGGATGGTTACGATCTTTACTTTTTACTTGTATTGTTGTTTTTTTAAATAATTTTTCTCATGGGCAAGGATAAATATATTATGTCGGGCGGTATATAATATCAAATGCACGAGTTTTGCTTGTTTCTAAACGTGCAAACGAAGTTTCGCTCGAGGCGTTTGCCGCATGTACTATATTTTTCGTCTTCAATATTCTGCCGTACTATGTGCCTATGACTTTATTCTAAATTTAGTTGAACAACAGCCAATAGTTAACTTTGCTGTCTTTTTTATTATTCGAATAATATGTTTGCATATGGTTACTTTGACTCGCAATTGTATGAAACGGCGCCATGTATGAATTTAGAGGAATTATAGAGCCGGTTCATCCGTATTTATTACAATACGAATTCTCGTGGATTTGGGAAATTTTGATGGATTTCTCTACTAGGCTTACTCGCTTTTTTGGAACTTTGAAAGACGTTTTAGTAATTTGGAGGCTGTTTTGTATATGACAATGACTGCAGCCTACAGTAAAAGGGCACGCGCGAGATCTTAGAATAACTATTATTAAAGTAGCTAATAAATTATATGTATTGCTAGAAATATCTAAAACATTCATTTGTCATTGAAACGTTGACAACCAAATCAACAAGCTGGTGTCATATATATAAAGCACTAGACAAAAAGTTCATGTTATAACTTCAACAGTAATGCGAAACACGTGAATTTATAAAGAAACACGTGCGTTGCTTCATAGCTCGTATTCCAGCGTGTTCCGGGTGGGGTCCGGGTGTTCCGGGTGGGGTTCCGGGTGTTCCGGATGGGGTTCCGGGTGTTCCGGGTAGGGTTCCGGGTGTTCCGGGAGGGGTTCCGGGTGTTCCGGGTAGGGTTCCGGGTGTTCTGGGTGGGGTTCCGGGTGTTCCGGGTAGGGTTCCGGGTGGGGTTCCGGCTTTTACAGACACCCATTAACAAAAGCCAACTTTCTCACATATATTAAATCTGAGAGCACAATTCCGAAAGATGGTTTTCTTTCTGATGGTTTTTTGTGATGAATCATGAACAATTTTACTAAAATTGCCAAATTGCTGTTTAATTTAAAACAACATTTACAAAATCTGCAATATTGTATTATTAAAATTGTATTATAGTATTAAGCGGTATTGAGTTTAATTCGCACTATTGTTTGATTGACATGTTTACGTGCAAGCGAATATTTTTAGAAACCAATTAATTATGTTATGACTGGGGCGTGTAGTCATGAAAGGCGGGCTTTCCTGCAGGCCCTTAATCCTCCCCCGGAGCCCGCCAAAATCCTGCCCGCTGCAAATCAGGCCCCCCATAAATTTGAGGGCCTGCCACGCAGGCTAATGAGAAACATAAGTAAGAATAATTTATGCCCTTAATGCCAGACATGCACGACAGCTTTGGCTGAGCGCTAACAACCGCAAGAGACCATGTACATAGCTTAGCCTTAGCATAGATAATAGAGACCTTAAAGATCTAGGACGACAACGTGACGACGACGGCTAGTAATACAATGAAACTAATAATATTTAAGAAAAGAAATGAATAATTAAAATCCCATGGGAGATTTAGACGTCGTCCTCGGTCTGTTTACAATGGCTAAACCAGAGTTTTTACGTCCTGTGTACAACGTTTGCATTTTAATACGTAAGGAGTGGATACTCAGCAAATTGGTTCAGTTCTAATGTCGAACTCTACTCAATAAAAAGCGACTGTTTTGACCTATTCAAGCTGTAATAACTTCATACAATTGATAATATACAATAAGAGTTCTTTACAATCATAAACAATCATTAATGATTTGGGTGAATTTGTTTTGGCCTTTGTCGTCGCTTTGCCGTCCTACATGTTAAGGTCTCTACCAAATCGCCTCGGAGGCTGGGCCTCAGCCAACCAAATTCCCCCACAACAAAATACACGCAAAAATAGACTGAACTAAAGCCCGGCTATTCAAAGCCTTGATGAACATCCGCCGCGGCACCAGACGGTGCCAAAACGTCTGCTCTGCTCAGCCCTTTATCACGCGAAATAAAATTTGGATAGATATAAGTTTTATATAGTATTATAGTAACCAATTATCCAATCCCTCTTACTTTGTGTAGCTCGGCAACCTGTTCTGAGTTTTGTAACTAACCCAAAAAAGAAGAGATTTTATTAACATGGCGGTTCTCTTCCTCACGTGATCCGGCAAGAGCATCGCGATGAGGTATTGGAAACGAATTATATTGAATTATGTAATGTATAGTATATATACCTTCAAATTCACAATTCAGCCACTGTCACGCCCATTATATGATATATAGCCATGTTTCCCCAAATCCAATCGCACTGAACGTTTAGGTGGACCAAACATGAAATGATTTCAATATTATAAGTCTACTATTCTTAAATGCGCCCATAAGGACCTCTTTCAATGTAAAGGGAATTCCCATGGGGAAAGATATAAAGTGTGTGCGGGATGTAAATAGTCCGACAAGGGGCAAATTCTCGTATAGCCTATAGGGAATTCCCCGATAAGTATCACGAGACCAGAAACAGGAAGGTCAATATTAAAATTAAATATTAAAATTATTCTGTTGCCCTCTGATTTATGTGGTATTGTTTTCGTTCATTATCACATTATTTCTTCCCTGTTTAGTTATACTAATTCAAAAATAATGTATCTTGAACTGTTATTAAAGATGATGTAAACAAACGCTTTGTTTACATTTTGAACTGCTATATTTGTAAAATATGATATACTAACTGAATATCTAACACTTTTCTGGTTCGCTATGCTTGTAAATGAATATAAACTCTACGTTTCAATTAAAAAAAGTTCGAAAGATGCAAAATTTGGGCAATGACAATGTTTTTCTTATATCTGCAGGTCCCCCTTTGTTATGAGCAGAACTGATGCGCAGAACGGACTTTACAGCATCTTTAATTAAGCTATTATATCTATCTTAGCTCGCGTGCAGGCCCAAGGGAACTGATAGTGGGCCTGCAGAGGAGGAATGAGGGTCTTCCCGAAATGCAACGCGCGAATCAGTGCGGCTCATTATTATTCAAGCTATTTATTCTCAACGCGCCGTTCGATTAAAAACTGTTGAAATATATTGCGATTTTTGCCGTGAAGATCTCGTTTTCTCAAAGGTATGTTTCGATAACCTTTCTGTTTAGTTATTTAATAAAAGAAGTTTTGAATAATTTTGTATATATATCGCATTTTACTTATATTAAATTCCGATTGTATTTATGCATATTTTGGGTGTTGGAAAAGTGGCATTGAAATATTCTGGAGTAAATTGTACTTTTTTACAAGGAAACTAAAATAAAATTACATCAGTGAATTCAGGAATGTTTACTCTTTATATTG